CTCTTCCCAGTCATTCTGGGGCTCCCATGGTTCCGGCCCATAACCCCCAGATTGACTGGGAGACCGGAGTAATCTCGTTCCCTTCCCCATACTGTCGGGTATACTGCCGCACTTTGGGCCCGGGGTCCCCCAAATCCTCCTGTGCTCTGAGGGGGAAGCTGAATTAAAACAAGTAATCCCTGCAGTCTACCATGAGTTTCTAGATGTGTTCAGCAAACGGGGAGCCGATACTCTACCCCCCCACCGCCCTTATGACTGTCCCGTTGACCTGTTACCCGGCTCAGAAATTCCTTTTGGGCGAATCTTCCCCCTTTCAGAGCTCGAATTGGGGGCCCTAAAGGAATATATCGAGGACAGCCTTCGGAAGGGGTTCATCCGCCCCTCCACTTCACACCGGCGGGGGTGGGAATTTTCTTTGTTGAAAAGAGAGACAAAACCTTAAGGCCGTGTATCGATTACAGGGATTGAACAGGGTCACGATAAAGAACCGTTACCCACTGCCGTTAGTACCAGAGTTGTTCCAAAGTTTAAAGACAGCAGTGGTTTTTTACAAAGCTGGATCTGAGGGGGGCGTACAACTTGATTCGCATAAGGGAGGGGGACGAGTGGAAGACGGCCTTCCGCACCCCCGCTTCGGCCATTTTGAATATTTGGTCATGCCGTTCGGGTTGTGTAATGCTCCGGCCACGTTTCAACACTTTGTGAATGATATTTTTAGGGACTTTCTGGATGTCTTTGTTATCGTTTATTTAGACGACATTCTGATTTTCTCCCCGTCTTTGGGGGAACACAGAATACATGTAGCAAAGGTATTGGGGCGATTGCGGCAGCATGGGTTGTACGCCAAGGCAGAGAAATGTTGTTTTGAACAATCCAGCATTGCCTTCTTGGGCCTGATTATCTCCCACCGCGGGGGTCGCGATGGATCCCCAGAAAGTCGCTGCAATACTGGATTGGCCTGAACCCACAGACAGGAAAGGCGTCCAACGATTCATCGGTTTTGCAAATTTTTACCGGAAGTTCATCAAGAACTTCTCGGGTCTGGTCTCCCCCATTACTCAGCTAACCAAGCTGGGAACCCGGTTCAGATGGACACCAGAGGCGCAGGAAGCTTTTGAAGCCTTGAAGAAGCTGTTCACCTCGGCACCCATTTTGGGTCACCCAGACACCGCCCTGCCCTATATCTTGGAAGTAGATGCATCGGAGAATGCTGTAGGTTCCATCCTCTCCCAGCGGAAAAGGCACCAAGGAACTGCTCCATCCTGTAGCATTCTTCTCACGGAAGCTTACCCCAGCAGAGAAGAATTATGATATCGGTGATCGAGAGCTACTGGCGATCAAAAAGGCGTTAGAGGAATGGAGGTACCTGCTGGAAGGTGCGGTGCACCCCATCTTAATATTTACTGACCACAAGAACTTAGAATATCTGAGAACCGCCAAGCGTCTACGCCCGCGACAGGCAAGATGGGCACTATTCTTTTCAAGATTCAACTTCCACATTACGTACCGGCCTGGATCAAAGAACACTAAGCCGGATGCGTTATCACGTATGTACGAGGACGCCAAGGAGATCCCAGTACCCGACACCATCCATCCTGTCCTCTCGGGTAACTTCTTGGCCCTTCAGTCGGACCTTCGTTCCAAGCTAAATGGAGGCATCCACAACCTTCTCTACCCCAGGCGGAGGGCCGCTCCAGAACAAGGGGGACTCCTATGGAGGGAAGATCGAATTGTGCTGCCAGAGGAAGCCCGAACCCTGGTCTTGGGGCATTGCCATGACCACCCCGATGGCGGGGCACTTTGGCCCAGAAAAGACCCTGGAACTTCTCCGCTCGCTCGCTCATGGTTGCATTCTGGTGGCCAGGACATGGCTAAAGATTGTAAGGGCTATGTAAGTCCTGTATCACCTGCCAGAAGAACAAGCCAGCAAGAAACAAAGTTTGGGGCTCTGCTGCATGCGACCGTTACCTATTCCTGAACGGCCTTTGGCAAAAGATCTCATTAGATTTTATAGTCGAGCTTTCCCGCCATCACTAGACCACACGGCAATCCTGGTGGTCGTGGACCGCTTGTCCAAGATGGCCCACTTCATCCCGTTGAAGAAAACCCCCCTCGGCGTCCGAGACCGCGCGAGAGTCTTCATTCGTGAGGTAGTAAGGCTGCATGGGGTCCGAAGACATTGTCTCGGACCGGGGGGTCCAGTTTCACGTCAAGATTTTGGAGAGCACTGTGCAAAGCCCTGGACATCAAATTGTCTCTCTCCTCTGCGTTCCACCCTCAAACTAACGGTCAAACCGAAAGGACCAATCAGACCCTAGAGCAATACTTAAGATGCTAATACCTCGTTTACTCAAGATGACTGGATGCCACTTCTACCTCTAGCGGAATTTGCGTACAACAACGCCTGCCACTCAGCGACGGGACAGTCCCCGTTCTTTGCCAACTATGGCTTTCACCCAGGCTCTTCTCCCGGATTTGGTCTCGGAATGCCCAGTACCAGCAACGCAAGATGTGGTAACGTTTTTCTCTGCGAACAATAAGAAGCTTCAAGAGGCCATCAGTCGGGCCCAGGAAAACTACAGGAAGGCATTCAACAGGAAACAGAGAGGAGATCTGGTGTTGCGGCCTGGGGAGAAGGTTTGGCTAGCGACGTCCAATTTAAAGATGCTTTGCCCGTCAAAGAAATTGGGACCCAAATTTATAGGCCCCTTCTGCATTAAACGGATGGTTAACGAAGTGGCCTAACGAACTCGTCCTCCCTGACACGCTCGAGATCCACCCAGTCTTCCCCATGTGTCCCTGCTGAAGCCAGTGGTCCCAGATGCCTTCCCTGACCGGGAATCTAGACCCCCAGAAGCCATAACGTCGAGGGAGAAGAAGAATTTGAGGTTGAAACAATCCTGAAGTGTCGAAGGAGGGGAGGCCAGACCCAATTCCTTATCAAATGGAAGGGCTATGGCCCTGAGGACAATTCTTGGGAACCAGCCCATAATGTCCATGCACCCAGACTTGTCCGAGGTTTTTTCGCGATCACCCGTGGTGGAGATGATCGGGTGGGCATCCGGAGGCTGCCCGTAGGGGGGGGGGGGGCAATGTCAGGGATCTCCTCGATCCCTGCCGCGATGGTCCCTGAGGCGCAGGCGCAGTGCACCGCCCTGTGCAGGGACACGGGCACTAGGTCCGGGCCGGCCGTGGCGTTCGCGCATGCGCAGTAGAAGCGCACGACGGGCCTTGTCCTAAAGACCTTCAAGGACTCTGTCTCTCCCTTTGGGACCACTGCCTTGGACCTGTATAGCACCCTGTCAGAAGCACCTTGGTCAGATCAAACTTCACAGGGTTCCGAAAACGCAGGGTCCAGCACCATAAACACAGCATTACAAGCAAAACCCCGAGGCGCCTTCACCTTTTCCAGCGAGGCTCAGCTAGCTACCATCCATTTTGGCTAACCGCTTTCGAATGGATCTGATTGAGGCCCTTGACTCTCAGTAGAATTGTTCCAGACCTCCCAGTATGCTTCACAGAGCATATGCAGCACATGTTCAGTGAACATCCACCTTACAGACACTGACGAAAAAAACTGAGTACTTCCTGTGTAGGAGGGGTTATATGGGGGAGGACTTCCTGTTTGGTTGGCCAGTGTCCATTCACCTATAGGTTGCATATAACCCACATAGTCATTATTATGACCTGTTCTGTGTCCCGTGAGGTAAGAAAAAGAAACATAGAATCTGCCATCTCTTGCTTCTTTGCAGATTTGAATCTCAGAGGATGCCGTTTGTATACTCTGCATATACTGGAGAAAGTATATGATGTACTGCACATAAATAGAAAGAAAAACATGTCCTAGGGATGAAATGCATAACCCCCTTTGAGAAAAGCCATAATTCATATGCCAACAACTAGTAATTCTGGTTGTTAGGTTTGCTGAAAGGAGAAATCATTTGCATACTGAGACAGATCTGAGCAAGTACAAAATTTGTATCTACAATATGTTTGCTTATATTTGCGGCACACTCATACAAATTTTGCTTTTGTAAATATGGATTTTTTTTTTTCTTTAAGCAGGTTAACTGAATATTTAACAGCAATTGTTAAATTGGGGCTTATGATTATATTATGCTTGAGATCTGTTTTATATTGAATTATAAAAATTACATTTTTTTTGTACTCTTAGCAAACCAATTTATAGGTGCATTTCTTTAAATCTAAATATATACTATACCACTTTGCCCAGTATAATCAAAAAGTCTCATAGTCCATGTAAACAAGAAAAATCAAAACGTATTATAGTCGCCACAAAACAATTAAAATCCTTCAAATCTCATATATTCGCTTTGTTTCTGTGCCCCCAGTGTTAATAAACTCTAATATGAATATCTTTTCTTTCTCGCCTCCAGATGTCTCCCTTGCTGAAAATCCCCAGATATTCCACTGGCCTTAAGATACTCAGCTTCTGCAAAAAATACCAAATCCATAGTGTAGCAAATAATGTTAAACAGTGTAATACAAAAAAAAAACCTGTGCTCTACATTACTTATAAACACAGTGCTCCCAAAATAGTACTACATGTGCTTGTGCAAAATCCATTCCACAACTACCACTATGCTAGAACCCCATGCAGATGGAGTCTCACCAGAACCTGCAACCCATGGTTCTCATGGGGTCTAAAAAGGGCTGGTTTCTGATTTAATCCTGTTATACTTACCCGGGGGGATATAAATTTTGATTTGGAGCATTACCTTGAGCACTGGATAATTGATAATTCTAAACATTTCTTTCAATAATTATTATGTCTGAAAGTCAGTATTGATAACTACAATATGACATAAATGTAATTCTAATAAGAATAGTTTCTGCACTGGCTTTCAGGAGACAGTCCAGGTGACTGGCATCCAGTTAGTGGTTTGCAAGAAAAGAGGAAATGTGCCTGGCACTTATCTGAACAAGATGTCCACTGTCAAAATGTGACTGTTAATTTTGTGTATATTTTACTTTGACAGGAAGAAAATTTGTCAATATACTTGTCTGTTTTTGGTATTCAAAGAATTCAAAGAATTTGGACCTTCAGGATCATGAAACTGATATATATTTGGAGTGCTAAAAGGATTTGGTAATGCAAAAGACAAAGACCATATGCTCAAAGCAAACTATGAGTAAGGATCCTTCTCAACTTCTGACTTCAGATTAAGGCTATGTCCTGACTCCTAAACACTTGTAATGATGCAGGCTGAAGGGCAGGCGACATTGGGATGTTTGTGTTGTGCTAGTCCTCAAATAATCCCTAATGTGCCACCTTGGATCCTAGGCCCAGGCTATACCTTGAGCCACAGCTTCTACAAAGGGATTAACCCTTAAACGTTAGCCCTTCCCAATACAAAGTCCTGTCCCTGTCATTCAGTTATAAAGTGCCAGATCATTTACTGATGAATAAAGTTCTGTTTAGTGACTTAGAAAATTTAAAGCAACTCTAGGTTAAAAGCACACAAAAAATTGTAAACCTTAGAAACACCTTACAGAATAGGCCAAACAATGTTTCTAACTTAAACCATGTCCAGTCTCCTGATATTCGTATTAATGAAATAGTTTAGGTTAATATAAATAGAAATGTTGGCTCTATTCTTTTGACACTAGTATAAAGTTAGCTTGGCTATCAGAGGGTTAAATCACCTGCTGCAGTTGAAGTGTTTAGGTTTCCTATGTCCACCCTTCCTCCACAATGCCATGATTAAGCTGTTACTCGCCAACAGACTTTCCAATCATTATTCTGCTTTTTTTTCCCCCACTTCTCATTGGATGTTTTTCTGTTTTCTAGGTTCCACAGAGAATTTACTCAGGGAGTAAAGCCTGAATGGACCATCACACATATTGAGCATTCAAAAATTATAGTAGTGAACTGAATGCGCATCATCCTAAAGCTGTTTGCTTCAGTCTTTGTTTTTTTGTTCTCAGACTGCCTAACGGAGTCCTAGTTTTCTAATGTATATGTAATAAATTGTATAATTGAAAATGAAAAACTTTAATAAACTGTTTAAATACAGTAATCTGTATATGTTTGTAATTAAAGTGGAACTACACCTTATCGGAGCACCATAAACCAAAAGCAGTTTAATTTATTTTTAATAGTCAAAGCAAACTTGCCCATCCATCCACGTCTCCGTGCTTTATTTTGCTGAGAAATCCCTTTGAAAAACACCCCCTAGCACATCTTGAATAAGGGCAGATTATTCATGTAACATTTACTTCCTTGAATCCATATTCCCTTAGCTCATGCATGCAGGCAGGCGGGTGTGCTTACAGTGCCTTGAAAAAGTATTCATACCCCTTGAAATTTTCCCCCTTTTTACTAGCAAAAACGTATATTTGTATAAATATATATTTGTATAATGTGTGTTTTATTGGGATTTTATGTGCTAGGCCAACACAAAGTGGCACATAATTGTGAAGTGGAAGGAAAATGATAAATGGTTTTCAAAATTTTTTTTACAAATAACTGAAACGTGTGGCATGCATTTGTATTCAGCCTCCTTTTACTCTGATACTCCTACCTAAAATCTAGTGGAACCAATTGCCTTCAGAAGTCACTTAATTAGATTGAGTCCACCTGTGTGTAATTCAATGTCAGTATAAATGCAGCTGTTCTGTGAAGCCCTCAGAGGTTTGTTAGAGAACATTAGTGAACAAACCGCATCATGAAGGCCAAGAAACACATTAGACAGATCAGGGATAAAGTTGTGGATAAGTTTTAAGCAGGGTTAGGTTATAAGAAAAATATCCCAAGGTTTGAGTACTGTTCAATCCATCATGCAAAAAAGGAAAGATTATGGCACAACTGCAAACCTACCAATACATGGCCATCCACCTAAACTAGCAGGCCAGGCAAGGAGAGCATTAATCAGAGAAGCAGCCAAGGAGCCCATGGTAACTCTGGAGGAGCTGCAGAGATCCACAGCTCAGGTGGGGATAATCTGTCCACAGGACAACTATTAGTGGTGCACTCCACAAATCTGGCCTTTATGGAAAAGTGGCAAGAAGAAAGCCATAAGAAGTCCCCTTTGCAGTTTGAGAGAAGCCATATGGGGAGACCTAGCAAACATGGAAAGAGGTGCTTTGGTCAGATGGAGACCAAAATTGAACCTTTTGGCCTAAAAGCAAAACACGATGTGTGGCGGAAAACTAACACTGCACATCACCCTGAACACACCAACCTCACCGTGAAACGTGGTGGCAACATCATCATGTTGTGGGGATGCTTTTTCTTCAGTAGGGACAGGGAAGCTGGTCAGAGTTGATGGGAAGATGGATGGAGCCAAATACAGAGCAATCTTAGAAGAAAACCTGTTAGAGTCTGTAAAAGACTTGAGACTGGGGTGGAAGTTCACCTTCCAGCAGGACAACAATCCTAAACATACAGCCAGAGCTACAATGGAATGGTTTAGAGCAGAGCATATTCATGTGTTACAATAGCCCCGTCAAAGTCCAGACCTAAATCCAATTGAGAATCTGGCAAGACTTGAAAATCGCTGTTCACAGACGCTCTACATCCAATCTGACAGACGTTTAACTATTTTGCAGTGACAAATGGGCAAAAGTTCACTCTCTAGATGTGCAAAGCTGGTGAAACATACCCAAAAAGACTTGCAGTTGTAATTGCATTGAAAGGTGGTTCTACAAAGTATTGACTCAGGGGCTGGATACAAATGCACGACACACGACAGCTCCCAGCTGTAATGTAAAAGTGATCTGGGCGATCACGTTTACAGTGTGAATTCCCTTTTCCCCTGCATGGTTCCTGGGCTGTCCCTGAGAGCCTGGGACCACAGCCAATGAACTTAGTATGGCCGGCGAGAATAGACTGATTCCTCAATCTCCTCTGCATTGAATGAAACCCTGGAGTGCTCAACTCTGAGCATAGTTGGTTTCAGAGCTGTTATTCCGTGGCTGTTTCAGCCAGGGAAGCAATGATTTGTGCTTGAATAGCTGCTGTGAAGTCTAGGTAAGACATTGGGGCCCTGATTTACTAAGAATAGTGTCCAACAGCAGATGCTGAACATTCAGCCAGACCCAATTAAATCAATTAAGACCTTTCAATGGTCAACATAAAAACGCCGGATATGGTGCCTAGGTGGCGCACAAGCGCGGGCTTTGAGCTGTTCGCATTTATTTGTATGCCAGATGAGAAAACTCACAGGTGTGTGTGTTTTTAATGGCTTTTTTTTTTTTGCTGCTATTATTGTTACCTCTATTAATTTTTCTTGCCTTTTTTTTTTTTTCTCCAAAAACTATTGCCCAAATAATGCCTTTCCTAATGAATGTCACAAAATCATATAGTTGTGTTCAAAATAATAGCAGTCAGACATCACTAACCTGATTAATCACTGTTTTTGGTAGAAATTATATTTCTACATGGAAAATAATTTACTAGCAGGTGTAGTAGAGTAATAGAAATCCAACAGACCCAACAGTCATGACATGCATGCTGCTGATTCTGTGTAATTGAATCACTAATTGAAAAGGGCATGTTCAAAATAATAGCAGTGTGGAGTTCTATTAGTGAGGTCATTCATGCTTTGAAAAACAGGTGACAATTATTGCCCTTATTTAAGGAAGGAAGGCAGCAAATGTTGTACATGTTGGTTACAGTGCTTTCTCTCTGAAATTCTGAGGAAAATGGGTCGTTCCAGACATTGTTCAGAAGAACAGCATAACTTGATTAAAAAGTTGATTGGAGAGGGGAAAACATGAAGTGCAGAAAATGATAGGCTGCTCAGCTAAAATGATCGCAGATGCTTTAAAATGGCAACCAAAACCTGAAAGACGTGGAAGAAAGCGAAAAACTACCATTCGAATGGATAGAAGAATAGCCAAAATGGCAAGGACTCAGCCAACAATCAGCTCCAGGAAAATCAAAGAAGGTCTAAAGTTCCCTGTGAGTACTGTTACAATTAGAAGACGCCTATGTGAAGCCAAGCTATCTGTAAGAAGCCTCCGCAAAGTCCCACTGTTGAAAAAAAGACGCGCTGAAGAGGTTACAATTTGCCAAAGAGCACATTGACTGGCCTAAAGAAGAATGGCGCAACATTTTGTGGACTGATGAAAGTAAGATTGTTCTTTTTGGGTCTAGTGGCCGGAGACAGTTTGTCAGACGACCCCCAAACACTGAATTCAAGCCACAGTACACTGTGAAGACAGTGAAGCATGGTTGCGCAAGCATCATGATATGGGGATGTTTCTCATACTACGGTGTTGGGCCTATTTCTCGCATACCAGGGATCATGGATCAGTTTGAATACATCAGAATACTTGAAGAGGTCATGCTGCCTTACGCTGAAGAGGAAATGCCCTTGAAATGGGTGTTCCAACAAGACAACGACCCCAAACATACCAGTAAACGTGCAACATCTTGGTTCCAGACCAACAAGATTGATGTTATGGAGTGGCCAGCCCAATCCCCGGATCTTAATCCAATAGAAAACTTGTAGGGTGACATCAAAAATGCAGTTTCTGAGGCAAAACCAAGAAATAGAGAACTGTGGAATGTAGTCCAATCATCCTGGGCTGGAATACCTGTTCACAGGTGCCAGAAGTTGGTTGACTCCATGCAACACAGATGTACAGCAGTTCTCAGAAACAGTGCTTATACAACTAAATATTAATTGATTCAAAGGAAAGCAAAATCCTCAAACATTTTTCAGTTTATATAGTGAATGTTTGAGTTTGTAAAGAAGAATACAAACACTGCTATTTTTTTTGAACAGTCTAATCACTTTTCTTCAATTTTTTTAGAGGAACAACAGAAATTTAATATATTTTTCTTCATGTTTTGATTTGGAATAGAATGTGTAGTGTTCCCAATGCATTTGTGTGTATGGAAATAAAAGCTATTAGAAGGATTTTGAGCTTTATTCACTTTTTTCAACACAATGCTATTATTTTGAACACAACTGTACATTCTATTTTCAAATGTCAAACATTTTCAAACTTATATCCCAAATAATTTTAATGTCTAGTTCTAATTTCCCAATCTAATTATATATATCTTCATTCTCTTTAATCATGTTACTATTCTACATTCCAGGTCAAAAC